CTTTTCTTTCCTCTGTCATGATGCTTTTTGATGTCTTGTGTGAATCACTTTGAATTACCTTGTTGTTGAAATGTGCTACATAAATAAACTCACCTTGCCTTAGGTTTGAAGCTGCTTAGAGACCTAAGAGGCCAGAAACTGCAGGAAGCGACCAAAGCTGCAGAGAGAAACAGCCAATGGCTATGGATGAAGATGCAAGACCTCTGCTGGGACCCAAAGTAGCAGTCCAGGTTGACATATAGGGGATGTTTTCTGGGACACCAGAGGGCGCTGTTGAGCCCTCCTGAGACGTCGTCAGCTCAACAACAAAAACACTGAGGAAGGAGAGTGCCCACTTGAAAACCCCTCTGTGTCTACATTCATCAGCAGGGTACTCTCTCTTACTAGGTGCTTGCACATGAAGGGTTTTTTTTTCTTCTTTTGCTTCTCATCCAAAACATACATGAACACTTTTGATGGTAGTGTTTTGAATTGTTCACATCAGTGTGTATTGTTTTGGTTAAATGAATCAGTTTAGAGAAGAGGGGACATGGTTTTTAGCTTTGTTTCACTTTGTAAGACATTTGTAGAGTTTTCACAAAGTAGTTCACTCTTTTTTTTGTCTCTGAGGTGTTGAGAAATTGGGTGACAGTTTATGGAAATGTGTTTAAAAGTTTGGGGATAACTGCACTTTGAGATAGCCCTGTTGTAATTCAGTTATTTCACTTTGTTATATTTTGTGCTTTCAGTTATTTACGGCTCTTTTTATTTGAACGTCTCTCATTGTGTACCTGTTTATGTACTCAACCTGAGGAGTATGACTGGAAATGTCTTGATTTTTAAAGGGCCTGTCTCTACCTGGATTATAGAAAAAAAATGCAATAACTTGATCATTAAATAACTTGATTACACTTGCCAAGTATTTTTTTTACAGAAATTTAAATTATTTAAGCTTATCTCAAGATTAACAAATTTCATAGATAGATATCTTGTTACCCTATATTAGATAGATAAGTCAATATTTGATTCATCCCCTCTGTGGGGGAAATTCAGAATTTTTAAATTAAGTTATTTGACTTCCTAAATACTTTGAGATGTATAAGATCTTTTTATGTCTTACACCTTATGTATGCCTTAGTATTTCACTTAATCTAAACCTAAACAAAAGTTGAAATATAATTTCATTATTGTTAATATTTCTTTCTTAATTAATTGAATTGATGAATTTATTGTTTTTGGCTTTCTTGTCCTTTTTATTTTATAGTTGTTGTGTCATATTGGCCTTTAGATTCCCTGTCTGAAACGCAGGGTTGGGAAGTAACGGATTACATGTAACGGCGTTACGTATTTAAAATACAAAATAAGAATAACTGTATTCCGTTATAGTTACAGTTTAAATTGGTGTATTCTGAATACAGTTACTTTCTCAAAAAAGGATTACTTATAGGGATTACTTTACGGCACTACACGCAGGTAGCAGGTGGCTCTATGTGCGCAGGTACGCTGCAAGTCAATGCGCGAGAGCACTTTCCACACAATGACAATGGCAGAGGATGAGACAAACGACCAGGAGGAGGACAAAAATGTATTTTTGCCATGGAAATTCAGAGAACATTTTACCTACAAACCTGGTAAAGAAGGCCGCAACATCACAGTGTTTCCATCTTTCAAATGACAGAAAAATAAATGGCATGCTTTTATTTTTTAATTTGATTCAATATTCTAATTGTTAAGAAAGATAAACAACGTGATTAAACTACAGGCTGTTGTTGCCATCTAGCCAAACAAAACTGAACATTCACAGCCTCTGAATTCTATAGAATTTCAACATTGACATTTATGTCATCCTATTTCCTCTTTTCACCAACATTACATTTTAAACTGGGGATTTCCTTTTTCTCGGGTTGCGCGTCTCTCCCCCAGCTCGCCCCCTCCGGTGCGCTCCTCTCCATAATGCGCTCGTCTCCTCCCTCTAAAGCTGCTGCTACTCCGTAGGACGCTTGGATTAGGGGACCTCACCACTGTTTGTACCCCCGTCTTCGATACCTTTTTCCAGGGCATTTATGTCCGATCAGACACAGCGCTGACCAGCTGTCTGCTGCAACAACAGGGAGTGTAGAGCGCCCGGTCCACAGAGGACACAGCTCACACCTCCTGCTCAATGTATGACACTTCATTCTTAAGATGAAGAAAAGAGAGGCCCTGTTTAACGCCGAGGTTTTCTTATAACCAAAAGTTTCTTTGTAATATTCAGATTTATCTTCTATAACTCGAAAGTATTGTGCGTTTATTTGCCTCTCTCACTAAGACCTATTTTGCGCTTGCAGTCATCTGGCTTTCTGTCCAAACTCTCCATGATGTAAACCAGTAGAAACCAGTAGTGGTGTCATTCACGCAAATTTTCTTTGTAGATCTCCCGCAAAACGCCCACCAACCAAACGTGCAAACTTTTGGAGTGAACGCGCAATTTAGTACTCTTTACTTGGGAGCTCAGTAAATCTGGTCCTGAGAGTTTAACAAGTGGCAAAATGAATGATGGAGGAAAGCACATTTGGCAGAATTAAAAACAATCCACTCTCGGTGGACCTCTTCTGTTGTACATGCCAGCAGCCTACTATTTAGTCCATTAATGTATTGGCACCACGAGGTTGCAGGACAAAATTGACCACATTTGTGTTTTGTGTACTTGCATAACTTTTTCTCTGAAGACAGTAATTAGATCGTTCTCCAAAGCATGTGTTAACTAAATTCACTGTTCCAGATAAACAGATAAACTATTGGCTAATAACAGTGGTAACATCATCGAACGGCACAATTGGCAGATGGTGCATTCAGGGTGTCAGGCACATCGGAAAAACGATGCCCGAGTTGTAAAATGCACATGAACACCTGCTCAAGTCGGAACAACAAGTCGGAAACTCGGAAAAGAAGGAGGTGCTCGTCTTGCCGACTTGACGTCAGAATCGTCATCAATCGTCATCACCCCCTTGCTCCCTATCCCTCTTCCTGCATTTTATCCCATCTCTCCCCCTATCCCTTTCCAAGCCCGGCGCAGTCTAGGCCTGTGAAGGCTGTTTCATCATGAGCCGGGGATCCAGCTGAAGATTTCTGCCTTTTAATAAGAACGTTTTTTCTTACCACTGTAACTTTTGCTGCTTTGCTAAAGTGCTCATGATGGATAGACCGGGTCTTTGTAACATAGCAGAAATACAGAAATACAGCCCATTTAACAAGTCATTCATTCCTGTCTCACAACGAAGAAGGGACTTTTGTTTCCTTCAGCCCAGCTTCCTGTCAGGTGCTGTTTCCATTGATTCAGTCATGAAGACAAGCTTTGGTCTCTTTCTTTGCCCTCACTGTGGGTATTTGTTTTGTGGTAAAAAAAGGTGTCATAGTCCAACCCATGAAGAAAAACGATCCCTAGCTAACCACAGATAAGGGATGGTATGTGAGGAGGACACACAAATGAACGACATGGGATTGAAGAATTTGTGATGTTTTTCTACAAGCTTTAATAAATTAACAGTTCAAATAAAATGCTAAATAAAGCAAACAGATAACCATAGAGCAGGAAGTGAAATGTTTTACGGCTAAAAAAGAAAAAACAAAAAGTGTCTTACAGTAAAGTGTGGTTAAAGCATCATTGGTTATCTAGATTTAACTTTCCAAAAAGAATAACAATAAAATGCACAGCAGAACAAAGTAAGATAAAATAAGGCTTAGTGCATGAAGGGAAAATGTAGAAAACATCATCAGTAAAAAAAGATAAGCAAGGCTTTACAGGACTTTAATAAAAAAAAACACACTGCAGCTATCAGTCTAAAAGAACACTCTACTGATTAGCACCATGTTACTAAAAAACATTCTCAGCCTCAACATGCTGCATTCTCTTCAACAGTTAACACGTCAGTCAAAGACTTGAGATGTAATTTAAAGGTTGTTTTTTTTGTCAAGCCTCTAACCACAAGTGGATCTGCTATTTCAAGCTGGGAGTGAGTCATGGTCTAGAAATGGAATGGTGTTTCTCCCTTCAATCAGTTCGGTATAAAAAACTGGAAAAAAAAGTCACTGAAAAAATTTGGCATTTAGTTTAAAGTCTTTAAATGTGATTTTTCACACTTAAATATAATATAAATCAAGTATCTCCTCTGAAAATAACTCTGTGAGTCATGACTGTCTACAATGGGTGTAACACCCGAGTCCCACTGTCTGTGATGTTTTCAGAGTTTTCAGAGTCCTATCTTCACTTTGTTTACATCGTCGGGACGGCCGGCTGACTCCTCCCCTCGTGTATAAAAGTTGTTTAATTGAGGGACTAGAGAAAAGAAGAATAACATACTGTACTCACTGCCGCCCCCATAACATAACATAACATAACATAATGAATAACTGCATTTTCTTATCACAGTTACGATCTTAAATAGCCATGGAAAGATAAAAAAAACATCTTCACACAAATCGGTACCCATTTCAGCCACCAGGGGGTAGTAGTCAAATTGAACACGAAATGAAAGCTCCTCTTAGCAGCTTTGTAACTGAAGTGCTAATGACCTGTAAACAACATAATTTAGGTGCTTGAATGTGTATTTCAGTTGTTTAACTCTGTGAAAAGTCACAGCAGCAGACTGATAGCCTGACTACAAAATGCTGGGTAAGGCTTGTTAGTGCTTCAACTTTTCCTGTAAGGATCACCTCGTTTATAGGCACTACTTAGATTGGCACAAAGACACAAAAACAAATCTCAAAATCTTCTTTCCTACTTTCCTTTCAAAACCTGTTCTGTTCTGTGTGCATGTACACATGCTTCATACTCATGTGCTGTGACCAGCAGTTAATACTGTTGGTGTGAAAACAGAGTACCTTCCTGGTGGCTGACGGTTAAAGCCACAGGCCTTCATGTTTAAAAACTGCTTTGCATTTGTGGTGACAGTTAAATGGTCTCCTTCCTTTTTGACTTCTTCCAATTTTGCCTTGTTAGTTCTACATCAACATTGTAGCTGACTTTCATATTTTGGTGACTCTTCAGAAAAGCTCTTAACCTTCAGGTTCATTTTTGACATTCTTTTTTTGATAATACTACTAGCTGTTCAGTTGTAATATTTGGCAACAATAACTTTAAATATCTGAATTGAGAAATTGGCTATTTTTAAAACCAATGTCAATGACATCAAAATGTAAAGCACCAGGAATACTGCCTATTTTCACTAACGGCTGCGTCAGGAATTAAGTCGTTGGAACCTTTTGCCTCTTGCCTCGTGTGCCGCCTTCTTCCCGTAGTATGAATCTACAAGGTAATAAAAAAAGTAAAAGTTAGTAGTCACAGTATGTAACCGTATAAGCTTTTATATTTAATAGTAGAATTGAATAGTTCACTGTAGTGTTTGAGATACTTTCATATTTCGTACCTTGCAATTTCCATACGTTTATAGAAGCAACACAAGACAGCAGCAACAACGAGGACGAGCAGAAGAACAAAAAAGGGTCCAACTGGCAGTGCAGGATCCTGTAGAGAGACAGGACAGAGGAGAACATGAAGAAGTAACAGGAAGTACAGATTTGCACGACCAGTTAATTTAATCCAATGCAGCCCAGTACTGAATGGACTGTTACTGCACCCTTAGGTGACCTGTGAGGTCCATTCATTTATGTAAAAGAGCTGTTCACCTCCTTACACTGGCTCCCAGTTACTGCTCGCATCAAATTTAAAACTCTGCTGCTCGATTACAAAACAGCGACAAAAACGTCTCCTCCTTACTTTAACTCTCTGATCCAGGTCTACACTCCCTCCCCCCCCCAACCTCCAACCTTCACAACAGGGTCCTAAGACGCTGACTAGACTCTTCTCCTCTGTCGCCCCCCGGTGGTGGAATGAACTTCCAAACTCCATGTGCTCTGCAGAGTCCCTCTGCACCTTTAAGAAAAAGCTAAAGACCCAGCTCTTTCATGAATACCTACTAACTTAATGATGATGGTCTCCATATTATTGATGATGATGATGGTAATGACAATGGTTTTTGTTTGATAACGACGACTTATAAGATGGTTTCTATACTGATTAGAGCTCTCAAGAACTGCCCTCAATGTTGTGCTTTGCCTCTGGTCACTTCCTGTCAGCACCTGTGTGTCCAATCAGACTCAAAGCTGATCGTTTGCTCTTACTCACATTGTTCTCTTTTTTCTAGATCCTTGTGTTGTTCTTACTCTCTGATGTACGTCGCTTTGGATAAAAGAGTCTGATAAGTGAATTGTAGAATGTATCTGATTATGAGATACATATCTGGAATTTCTAGATTTGCTAGCTCTGGCTTCTCATTTTGTTTATTGTCTTTGTTTTTTCTTTACAAGACTCAGTAGACTGTGAAACTGAATTGCCCTTCTGGGATTAATAAAGTTGTCTGAATCTGAATTAGTACAACTGGCCTGCAGTGAATCACACTTTGAAGCTCATTAAATGTCTCAGCTCCTTTTCCTTCAGCACTAAGATCAGATCCAGACAGATCAGGTAACACTGGGAGCTTCAGGCAGAAAAAACAAAAAACTACCCAGCTCAGTAATGTTAACAATTTGCTGACAGCTGCCATCCAGCCAGGCATTAAATCAGCTGCTAATGGTTAATGATTAAATAGCATTCTGTGAATAACATACTAAACATAACAAGTTATCTTTATTGTGGGATGTCAGCGTTTTTAACACTCTGATACTTTAACAAAGTGTTTTTAAATGATACTGATCCCTGTTGGTTTCAGGTTTGATAGTATCTTCAGTACAGATGCCCTAAAAGACAACAGATCTACAGTAACAGTTATATTTTCAATCACACAGCTGTGGTCAAGAGACATACAGTAGAGATGAAGTGAAGAAAGCTGTGAGACAAAGTAACAACAAAGGTGTGCTTGGTAAGTGTTCAGACTATTTTCAAAGTCATTTTTGGGCGTTTTCACTTTTATTGGATAGGACAGCTGGACAGAGACAGGAAATGTTGAGAGGAGAGAATGAGGGAATAACCACTAAGTTAGCGCTCCTAAATTAGACTTTATGAACTTTTGACATGTGTAAATAAGGAGTCTGTACTCAATGGCCAGTGGAAGGTCAGTTCTATTTTTAAGATCCTGATTGTAACAGTATTTAATCTTCTGGCCTCACATGTTGGAATGTTTGACCACAATAGGTCAATTGTTTTGCAAACATGAGCTGGTGTTCACTGTCGGTTATTAAAGCATTTTCGGGTTAAAAAAATAATGCAATGCAACTAAAACCCTGCTAAATGTTTTTTATCCTATCTTTTCTGGCCAGTCCTGAAACTAAAAAAACAACAAAGACAAAAATAAAAATTACTATGACGAGGATATACAATATTTCACAAGACTGGTCCTGCTTTAGGTTTTAAAGGCTTTGTATGTGATTTTTTGATCCAGCAGATGTCGCCCTTGAGCACCAGCATGAAACCAAAACAACTTGCGCTGCATTGTTGTGTTAGCATGCTAATGCTAGTGATCTTTATTATGCTGGTATCTTCACACTGCATGTAAATTTACCTGAAATGAGTGTGATCTAGAAACACAGTTAAGCAGTGAGTACAGTATGTTATTCTTCTTTTCTCTAGTCCCTCAATTAAACAACTTTTATACACGAGGGGAGGAGTCAGCCGGCCGTTCTGGCGATGTAAACAAAGTGAAGATAGGACTCTGAAAACATCACAGACAGTGGGACTCGGGTGTTACACCCATTGTAGACAGTCATGACTCACAGAGTTATTTTCAGAGGATAAACTTGATTTATATTATATTTAAGTGTGAAAAATCAGTAGCTGCAGTTTTAGAGTCTGAGAACTTGAAACTTTTGTGGTTTTTTTCTGATAGTGCAGAGAGGGAGGCTAAAGCAACTTTAAAGGCATTCCTGTGCCATGTGCAGGATCTATTGTTGTGTAACCAGGGTAGCCTGAGCTGGTCCTGGACCCTCTTCTTACAGTTGGACACAGCTGAAATATCTACACACATCAATCAAACTTTATTTATATAGCACTTTTCAGACAAATTAAATTGCAGTTCAAAGTGCTTTACAAGAGTGCAGAAAAGTTATTGACGAAAAAGTAGTTTATAAAATCATGACAGACTAATATAAGAATTAAAAAAAATAAATAAAAGCAATAAGATATTTAAATTAATACATAGGAGAGGAATATTTAAAATTGTAGTAGGATTAAAAAAGACAAAACAATAATGTTAAGATTTGAATTTATATAAAGCGCTATATAAAAGCCAGACTGAATAAATGAGTTTTCAGACTGCGTTTAAAAATCTCAATATTCTCGGCATGGAGGAGTCTCAGAGGAATCCTAATCAAGTATATCCAGCATTTCAACTCTCACCATGTCCTTAAGGATTCCACGGGAACAACGTGCTATAATAAACTCATTTGGCTGCTGAAATAACTGGAGGCGAGTCAAAAGGGATCTCACCTGAGGTGAAATGCACACGGAGGTAAGCATGTTTACTCCCATACGAGTTCGACGCCTCGCACTGGTAGAGGCCGTTCAGCTCGGAGGTGATGCTCAGAAACTGCAGCGTTGAACCATCAACTCGGACCCCGGACTGAGGCCACGACCGGTCAGATCTGAAAGTTAGAACAATGCTGAGCTTAACAAAGACTTCCAGCCCCAAAAACAAAAAAGGGTCACCATCTGTCGAAAGTTTTGCAAAGACATGAAATCAAATACAAACTATTTAATCCTTTCTAAAGGCATAGATAGAAAGATAGAATCTTTATTATCATTGTATACAAGGACACAAGAAAACTTTGTTAGCAGCAATCCTATACAGCAGCATTTACAAAAACAAAAATATATTTGTGGTAATATGAAGACAAATATGTTTGTGAAAAGTGGCCAGAGTGGCCAACTGCTGTTCAGTGAATGAATAATAATAATAATAATAATAACAATAATAATAATAATAATAATAACAATAATAATAATGATAATAATAATAATAATAATAACAATAATAATAATAAATAGACAGTTGTGGTGACTGAAAGAATATATACAGTTATAATTGTGCAGTAACTGATTAGGTAAACAAATATAATATATATAGAGAGATAGTGCAGATAAGTGAAGTTATAGTGCAGTGAAAGAGTATATAGTAGTGCAGTGATAGAGTAGTATATGTAGATTAGTTGTTGTGCAGTGACTGAGTAAATAAATAAACAATTATAAAGCAGTGAATTATAAAGTTATTGCACAAGTAATATTGAACAGTTAGCAGTGGTTAGGTAATTATTGCACATTGTATTCCCGTCTTGTGGGAATGAAAACATGAAAACAGACACTTAAAAAGTGTCTGTTTTCATGAACTGCTCCTCCTTGCTCCCTCTACACTCTGAGTCCGTCAGCTACACTCTGTTGAGCCCACACTGTTAGACCCCACATGGGCCAAGTCTGCTCTGATTGGTCTGCTGATCCGCTCTGTCGTTATTGGTCAGTTGCTCAGCACGCGTCTCGGAAATCTCAACATGAGCTGCTGGGCCACAATGAGCCAATGGGCTTAGATCAGTGATCTCACACCGACAATGACGTCACACTGACACATTTTTATCGAGGGGGGCTAGAACCGAGTTACATGCAGCTAATGCTACAGCTAACAGGAGGACGTAGGAGAAGCTGCGTTTCCGCAGACTTTGAATTTTTGCACATAGATGTGCCTAAACATGTACAGGACACTTGGAAAACACACTAAAGAGCAAATAAAACCAGCAAAAGAAGAATATGGGACCTTTAAACAAGGTCCTGCAAAATCAACTGATTGGTTCCAGGCTAATTCATTTTATGGAATTATATGAATTCTTAAGTTTGACAGGATCCATAAAGTTACCTAGTGTCATGTTTTTCAGATCCTCCTCCTCATGTTTTCCTGCCCTGATTGTCTGTGTGTATACATCCCCGTGTTAGACTTAGAGTGATTTTTGACGGTGCCTGTCTTACCGTTTTGCCTTTTGCCTGCTCCCTTTGGATTTGTTTGCCTTGAAGATTTGCCTTCCTGTGTACTGACCTGGACTGTAATTAAACTCTGCCTGTTCCTGAACTCAGCCACGTGTGAGTCTGCTTTTGAGTTCCTGTCTCTATCTGGTTCTGATAAAGTTCTATCTTATTTTTCTCTACAGTTCCCTGTGTTGTTACAGTGTTGGATAAGCAGACACTTAGTTTGCTGCCTCTAATTCTCAGTGTTGATTGTCAATTAATATGTTTTCTTTTTTCTTCAAATTTACTTTCAACTCCATTAAAACACATTTTTTGTTTTTGTTGGAGCTATTTAATTGTTGTTAGAATTAGTTTTGGTGTTTAGTTTATTAATATTTGGGTGTTGTTGTTTATTTAATTATTCTACATTTTGGGTAATGTTTTCTTTTTGCTAGTTGTTTGTTTAGTAAATTTAGCTTTGCATTAATATTTTTGTTAGGTATTTGGTAACACTGTGG